TGGGGCTGGCCGGGCGACCGGGCCGTGCAGGGCTCGGAGCCGGCCAAGCGCTGCTGAGACCCGGCTCTGCGCGTCCAGGGACGGCTGATGCCCGCCGCGCTCCCCACTCCGCTGTCGCAACCGGGCCGCATCTGGACGGGGCGTCGCGCGGCGGGACCGACGCCGGGTGAGCACAGGCTGGTCGGTGGGTCCCCGGGCGGGTTAACATGCCGAGTCAAGTGTGAGGAAGATGGCATTGCCGGCTGGGGTGGGGGGCGCGCCCTGCCGCTCGGTCTCCCTGCCGGAAGCTCTGTTCCTGGCTGTCCAAGAGCGAGGGCGGTACGCAGAACCCGGGACGGGGGCCAGAGGGAACTGGGTAGCCCCTCCTCTCCCCGCCCCATCCCGCATCCTTCCTGGACGGGCCCCTGCCCTCTGCTCTGGCGGGCTCTGGGAGACCAGAGGTCTGAGGACCTTGAAGACCCTGGTATTGAGGTTGGGGGCGCTGGGTCAGTCCTCCTGGCCCCAGCTCTTGGTTTTCGTGAGGAGGCGGGAGAGGTGATCTGTAAGGGCTCCCCGTGGTCCAGACCATGTCCTCATCTTGGCTTGGAGGCTCTGAGACTACTTCACAGCCATGACCTTCAGCTCCTCCCAATAATTAGAAAACCGGAAGAAAAACTCGAGTCCCACCAGCTGTCCCCTTGAGTATGTCCGCAAAGAGCCAGGAATAGAACCGAGGAGTCCTAATCTCAGCCCAGCCCCTGCGGCACAGTCAGCCGCTCCCATCTCCCTAAGCCCCAGTCACGAAAGATTCATCTGAGTGGCTTGCTGTGTGTATATACGGGTGTGTGGGTGTATGGGTGGAGGGGTGCCTTCAAGGCCCTGTTCTCCCTCAATCACCTTTACCCCCTGAGCGGTCACCTCTCAGGCACCTCCAGCTCGAACCCATTTGCTCCGTCTCCCTCTATCGACCAGCAGAGGCATGACTCTGCCTGAGCCTATGGGCAGAGGACTGAGCAGGGCTCCCTTCCCAGGAAGCTGCCCCTTTGGCTGCTGTGACTTGACCTGGTCATCCACAGAATCTCCTTGGATCTCTGGGTGGGGAGTCAAGCCAGAGGCACTTAAGTCAGTACTCACCACTAGGCCATCTTGGGTAGGGACCCTGGATGTCAGGGGAGTAGACTGCCCTGTTTTGGCTGGAAAGGACTCTGAAAACAAGTCTCACTGTACCTGTTGCACAGAGGGGGAGACTAAGGCCTAAAATGGGAGAGGGACTTATCCATCGTCACTTGGAGAGTGGTGGGTAGAGATGGAATGACGAAGCTAGAACCAACCTCCTGCTTCTCATGCCTGGAACTCCTTATCTTTAGTCCTGTGTCTCTAGCCTGGGTCTTCCAGCCAGCCACAGATCCAAGCCTGGAAAGGGACCCTGTCGTCGGCCACCCCACTCAGTATGGCAAAGCCTCGCCACAGGTTGACCCTTTGGGATCACAGTGGCCTGACTGCCTGAGCCAGGAGTGAGAGGGCCGGGGAGCATGACTGTTTAAGTCCACTGACCACCCTGTGCCCGCAGGCCATGATGCTACTTGGGGCCTCTGTGGTGGGGGTGCTGCTCTTCTCCAAGCTGGTGCTGAAACTGCCCTGGACCCAGGTGGGGTTCTCCTTGCTGCTCCTCTATTTGGGCTCTGGCGGCTGGCGCTTCATCCGGGTCTTCATCAAGACCGTCAGGCGTGATGTCTTGTGAGTACCTGGTCCAGCCCTTCCTGGGGTCTCTCACACCATGCTGGACTCCTAATCTAAATGTCCTCAAACCAGACCCATGGTTTCTACTAGCACAGGGTACCTGGGCCCCCAAAAAGCAGCTTCTGCTTCATACCCTTCCCCTGGCAATAGTACCTGGTACCTTCCTGGTATCTCAAAGGTCAAAGTCTTCCCCCAGGGAATTTCTCTAACTTGAGGCTCTTTGGCCTGGGGCAGGTTTGGGAGCCTGGGACATACATCGAACAGTAGGTGTGCTGAGGAGACATCTGCAAGGGACCCTGAGGACAATCTGTAGTTTATGAGAGGGTGAAGAGGAACCCAGTGGGAAAGGCCCTGTCCTCAGGTTGGCATGAGTCTAAGACATCACAAGGGGCACTGAGTTCTAGAGCAGGGCCCCACGTCAGATGCCTGGGAGAACTGACTCCCCAGAGAAAGCCAGGTATGATCCATAGGGACACCCTATACCAGGAATTCCTGCTCCTGTTCTGTGCCGGTGCTTGGTGAGCTCTGGGCCACCGAGAGCAAAAAGGCAGAGCCAGTCTACCAAGCTCTGACTGCTCAGGAAGATGATAAGGGCACACAGTAAATCCCTAAACTGGTGCTGTCGTGTGGGCAGAGACCCTGAGAGTCTTGCTCACTACTGTCCTGGCGTCCAGCACAGTGACCCACACCCAGCACAGGCAGTTCAGCATTTGCCAGTCTGGGTTGATGACAAAAGAAAGTATCCAGTGGCATTGCAGGAAGGGTGGCAGCAGCAGAGAGCTACAGGAGCAGGGAGCTAGGAGAGGTGGGGCTTGGGGAATGGAGAGGCCTCTGGAGGAAAAGGAGTTGTACTTGAGAGGTCCCTTGAAGGTGGTGGGAGGAGGGGAGTCCCACCAGCGCGCAGCACCAGCAAAGGTATTGAGACTGGAGAGCTTGCAGAGTTCAAGGGGTCAGAACGTGGCAGGCTGAGGCAGGAAAGGGGATGTTGCCAAGTGATTCCACAAACACTTTCTGGATGTCTACTCTGTAGACAAGGTGATGAACAAGACAGAGCCCCGCTGGGCTCACAGGGAGAAGGGCTAGACTCATTAGCAGACTCATCTTTTATTTGCTGTGGTGATGGTGGTGGGGGAGGTACATATAGGCTGTGGGAGTCTCCAGATGAGGAGTTTGAACTTTGGGGCTCTGGAGCCCTGGAAGGCTCTGCCAGAGCAGCAGGCTTAGAGCATAGTAGAAGTTGAATTCTGGAGTCAGAGAGGCCTGGTGTTCACAGCTCAGCCACATTCCACCAGAGAAGTCCTGGGCAAGCTGTGACACCTGGAGAGCCTCGGCTTCCTCCTCCTTAAGAGGAGGGAATAATCCTACAGTCTCTTAGTGTTACTGTGAGGCATCAGTGAGATGGTGCATGTTATAGTGCCAAGCACTCAGGAGGAGCTGGGAAATGGGTGTGCTAAGAGTTCTGGCTCATGAGGCTTCAGCCAGTGGGGCAGCACCCGGGGCACGGGGATCAGGACACCACCCTCCCAGCGCCACAGTCACAGCTCCCTTGTTTGCTCCCATACAGCGGCGGCCTGGTGCTCCTGAAGGTGAAGTCAAAGGTACGACGGTACCTGCGGGAAAAGCGGACAGTGCCCATTTTGTTTGCCTCTACGGTACAGCGCCACCCCGACAAGACAGCCCTGATCTTCGAGGGTACAGACACCCATTGGACCTTCCGCCAGCTGGATGACTACTCGAACAGCGTGGCCAACTTCCTGCAGGCCCGGGGCCTGGCCTCAGGCGATGTGGCTGCCATCTTCATGGAGAACCGCAACGAGTTCGTGGGCCTGTGGCTGGGCATGGCCAAGCTGGGTGTGGAGGCGGCACTCATCAACACCAACCTCCGGCGGGATGCCCTGTGCCATTGCCTCACCACCTCTCGGGCACAGGCCCTTATCTTTGGCAGCGAGATGGCCCCAGGTGAGCCCCAGGCGTGTGGGGTACAGGCACTAGTCCCATTGGACCTTGCACAGACCACAACCACAACTCCCTTCCAGCCCTGGGTGTGGGTCAGTGGTTAAGGGCATGAACCCTGGAGTCAGATGGCCAGTAAGCTGGAGATCCTGAATAAGGGCCCCAGTTCTCTGAGCCTCAGTTTCCTCATCTGTAGTACCTACCTCCTACTGTATTCTGAATGATACTTCACCTGAAGCACTAGCAAAGTGGCTGATGCTGGGCAGCTCCTCAGATATACTGGTAACCATCCTTGTGACTAATTCGGCCTTATTTGCCTCATATCTATAATGGGAACAAGGACTCATTCCCCACTGTCCTCGAAGAGCTTGCGTTTTATTTGCTGCCACACTGGGCACTGACAGTGCTGGGCTTGGTGCTTCCAGAGCAGCTCTAACCTTCACAAAGACCAGGTGAGGTAGGGATTGTCATCTCGGCTGTATGTATGCTGAGCCTGGGGTTCAAAGGGTGTGAGGAGCTCACCTAAGGTCACAGAGTTGGTAAGTGGGAAAACTGGGATTTGTCCACAGTGTCCTTGTTCTTCCTCCCCACACTGCTGTGGTTGCTGGATAATAGACAGGGAAGTTATTAAGATGCTGAAAGGGGAGGTGGGAGAATGCAGCAGGGAGCGGGGAGGGTTGGACGAATCAAAAGGAAGCCAGAGGGGGCCAAGCCCGTAGCGCACTCGGGAGAGTGCGGTGCTGGGAGCGCAGCAGCACTCCCACCGCGGGTTCGGATCCTATATAGGGATGACCGGTGCACTCACAGTGCTCACTGGCTGAGCGCGGTGCGGCTGGTCTCAAAAAGGAAAAAAAAAAAAAAAAAAAAAAAAAGGAAGCCAGAGGAACTGGGGCCGAGTGGGCCAGGACTGCCCCACGCCCAGGGCAGATGAGTGTCTGGATGTCTGTGTCATACACAGGGGAGCCTGAGAGAAGGTTTCCACTCTCCAAAGGGGACGGAGGGCCTCTGACCTCGCCTCCCTTCTAACCAGCCCCGCACAGAGGAGGGTAGTATAGTGGGTATGATCTCAGACCTTGGTGAGATAGGGCTAGCATTGAATCCCAGTTCTAGCATATTCCAGCTGTGAGCAAGTCCCTCCCATTTGCAGAGCCTCAATTTCCTCATCTGTAAAATGGGCTGTCACTGGTACCTACTTCCTAGGGGATGAGAGCAGGAGAATGCAGGTAGAGCTGCTATGTAGTTAGCCCGCAGCAGATGGGAACTATTGCTTCTATCAGCAGTGAAGTCCCAGGTGCTTCACCTGTCTCTCTCCCTTCGCCAGCCAGTCTGCTGACAGCATGCCCAGCCCTGGCACAAGCAGAGTCCAGGGAACATGGGGGGCTTCCTGGCCTGCCTGCTGACCTGCCTTGTCTCCCCCGTAGCTGTCTGTGAGATCCATGCCAGCCTGGACACCTCACTCAGCCTCTTCTGCTCTGGCTCCTGGGAGCCCAGCGCCATGCCCTCTGGCACAGAGCACCTGGACCCTCTGCTGAAAGATGCCCCCAAGTACTTGCCCAGTCGCCCTGACAAGGGCTTCACAGGTGAGTCCCCCACCCCCACAGAGGGGTTTGAAGATGGGCTGAGGACAGAGCCCTGGCCTTGGACAGAGGGCCTGGGTTCTTCTGCAAATTTACCGTGTGCCTTGAACAAGTCAGTCACATCATCTCTCTTTTTCTATCTGGAAAATGGGGACAGTAACCCTGGGTCACTCTGGGGTTACTGTGACGGTGCAATGAGCTGATGTGTGTGAATGTGCCAGGCACAGAACTGAGCACACGGGAGCTCACAAAATCCAATTCTTTGATTCATTGAACAAGCCTTTATTGATGCCTAACATGCGCAGGATCATGTGGGCTCCAGGAATCTGCTCCACCAGAATTTTGGCTAGGGTTGGAGAGGGGAGTTGGGTGAAGGGCAAGACCCTTTGGATATGCATCAGGCACCTGGGCAGTGCAGGACTCTGCTGGGTCTCCAGGTGTGGTTCTTCCCTGCCTGCTACTCCAGGCAGCCTCCCTGCGCCTCAGCTCTCTCCTTCTACACGCCAGTCTGCCCAGTCCTTGGGCTTCTCTCACTCTCCTCCTTGTGAAGCCACTTGGCTTGCTGCATTGCTTGGGGGCTCAGAGCTTGGGCTGTTGGTCCAGATCTGAGTTCACATCCTCGCTCTGCTGCTTCCCTTGTGTGACCTTGGACATCTGACCGGCCCTCTGAGCCTTGGTTCCCACAGCTATAAAATTGGGGAAAGTAACAGAACCTACTTTATGGGGTGGCTTTAAGGGTTGAAAAGAAATACAGTGAGTCGAATCCTGAAGCTAGGGTGTGGCGGGAAGGGCTCAGTAACTGGTTGTTATCATCATCATCGTTAACTTCTCTCATGCATATCTGGTCTCCTGGTGTTTTTGTAAACTACTGGAGGGCAGGGACTCTGGCTGGTTCACTCTGGTGCCCTTATGGTGCCCAGGGCTGGCATACAGCAGGCATCCAGAGAGCATGAGATGATTGCTGTAAACATGCAGAGCCATCTATCCCATGGAGTTTCTGACCTCCAGGAATCTCCAGCTTCGTAGGGCTGAGTGAGACTTGTGTAGAATCTGTAATGTGGCAGTCCCTATTCAGGGCTACAGGTTGGGATAAATAAATGGTCAGCAGTGCAGAAGCTACCTCCATACCCCACTTCCTGCAGCTAATGCTCCCTGTGCCCTAAATCTTGGGGCAGGCACCACCTCCTTCTGGAAGCCCACCTGGCACTGCCTCCCCTCCTGCAAGCCTGGGCCAAGTGTTGCTGCCCAGCTTCAGGAGGTGCTATGTCTCCCACCCTCCCCCTGGCATTTGGTGCTCAGCAGTGAAATTGCCTGCGTCCTCCTCTGACCGGCCCACTCAGCTGGGACTTCCAGGAGGGCTGGGTCTGTGCCCTTCTAAGTCATTGATGTCTCTCTCCCCAGGGCCTGGAACACAGCAAGGGCCCGGGAAATGTTTGTCGAGGGAGCAGACACAGGCATTAGAGCAGGGCAGTATCTGAGGTCATCAGAGTAGGCCTTCTGGAGCAAGTGTGATGGACACAGGTGTGAAGGATGCACATGTACAGGCACCCGTCTATCTGACCCATGCCCGCTCTGTGCTGCCCTCTCACAGCCACTCATGTGTCTGTTTTCTTCAGATAAGCTCTTCTACATCTACACGTCAGGCACTACAGGGCTGCCCAAAGCTGCCATCGTGGTGCATAGCAGGTAAGGGCCAGGTGCCCCAGAGTGGGGGTGGGCAAGGCAGGGGCTGGGAACCTCCTCCTGCCTTTCCAGGGGCCCGCTGAGCCCTGTGCCCTATGCCCACCAGGTATTACCGCATGGCTGCCCTGGTGTACTATGGGTTCCGCATGAGGCCCAACGACATTGTGTATGACTGCCTACCCCTCTACCACTCAGCAGGTAACCTTCGTCCACCCCTCAGCCTCCAGCACCCCCAGGGCCACGGGAGCCCCACCCTCCAGTCAGGCAGTGTACTGCTGTGGAAACACATGAGCAGTGGCCCGGCGAGCTCCTGGGCTGGTCTGATATTTCATTGTGTCCCACAGATGTGCACAGCATTGCTGCTTGGTTGTGGGGGCTTAAGGGAAGATAGAGCTTCCATAAATATGAGGGTACTTCAAAAAGTTTGTGGAAAAATGGAATTGAAAGATAATACGAATCTTTCCATGAGCTTTTTTTTTTTTTTTTTGTCTTTTGTCTTTTTCCGTGTCCGGCCACGGATCGCAACCCTCCATGAGCTTTTTGAAGTACCCTCATAACAGTTTCTGGCCTCAGGGTGCTCAGAGTCTGGTGTAGAAGTGAGTGTGGTGGAGGGGCAGGGAGCAGGAGTGCAGCATGAGGGAAGAGCCCAGTGATGGGGGCCCAGGAAGGCTTCCTGGAGGAGGTCAGCCAAGGCAGGTGGATGTGAGATGCAGAAGCCAGCCAGGGTAGCTCAGTCCTGCCTGGCTGAATGGCAGCATTACAGGCTTGGAGCCGCCCCAGACTCTTTCGGTGCAGTCTTAGGAGTGTGCATTCAATCCCACAGGCACTGGGGAGCCATGGAAGGTGTGTGCATAGGGGAGAGAGATGATCAGTTAGTGTAGGTGGGACAGGACAGGAATGAGACCCAGGAAGGACCTGCAGGAGGTGGCCTGGGCAAGAGGTGGGGGGTCTCCATCTCCCTGACCTCCAGGGCCCATCCCTCTGCCTTCAGGAAACATCGTGGGAATCGGACAGTGCCTGCTCCATGGCATGACGGTGGTGATACGGAAGAAGTTCTCAGCCTCCCGGTTCTGGGATGACTGTATCAAGTACAACTGCACAGTGAGTGAGACAGGAAGGGAATGAGTTTTCCTTGTCCCCTTGTCACCTTCCCACCAACCGTGATTTGGAGCATCTGCCTTACAACAGAGGTGGCCAGTCATTCAGAAGGGTTCATTTAAGGTAACATCCCCATTGTTCAGATGGAGAGACTGAGGCCCAGAAAGGGAAAGGACCACACAGCCAGGCCCTGAGGAGGGAAGGGGTTTGACAGATCAGGAGGTGGTAAAGTGAGAGCAACCTCAGGAGCCTGGAATCACACCAAATCCACCTCCAGATTGTGCAGTACATTGGCGAGCTGTGCCGCTACCTCCTGAACCAGCCATCCCGGGAGGCAGAAAAGCAGCACCAGGTGCGCATGGCACTGGGCAATGGCCTCCGGCAATCCATCTGGACCAACTTTTCCAGCCGCTTCAACATACCCCAGGTGGCTGAGTTCTACGGGGCCACTGAGTGCAACTGCAGCCTGGGCAACTTCGACAGCCAGGTGCAACACACAGGGGAACGGGTGAAGCCACTGCGGGGATGAATCATGGAAGGCACTGGGCGGCAGAGGGGAAGGCAGAGTTCTAACATGAGACTGAGTGCTCGAGTCCTCCTTGCCCCTCCAGTATTTGGTCCACAGTGGGAGAGACCCGGCCTAAGTCTTGGCCTTTGCAGGTGGGGGCCTGTGGCTTCAACAGCCGTATCCTGTCCTTCGTGTATCCCATCCGGCTGGTACGTGTCAATGAGGACACCATGGAGCTGATCCGGGGGCCTGATGGTGTCTGCATTCCCTGCCAGCCAGGTCTGCCCTGGGCTGGAATTTAGGGCCCGAATGGGAGGGGTTAGCCCAGGAAGGAGGTAGGACAGGTATGGGTGGATGGCAGCCCTATTCTGACCAGCGGCCATCTGTCAGCACTGCTTTTAGGGTTACAAGTTGCTAATTTCTTTGTGGATCCATCCATTCATTCATTTTTGTGTTGATTGGAGGAGACCCCGAGTCCAGGCCACCTAGGATTGATTCTGGCTCAGCCCCTTCACTCTGTGCCTGAGTCCCCTTATCTGATGGCAGCACACACTTCATCCGCTTGATTAAGCATGATGAAGAACATAAAGTTCTTTGGGCAGAGCTGGGCATGGAGCAGGGGCTTAGTGGCACCAGCTTTGTTAGTCTGTCCATGTGGAGCCTGACCCCTGTTTACTATGTGTTTATCTCATCCATTCAGCTAGCAGATGCCACCAAATGCCTGAGTGCATCAGATCTTCCAAGATGAGCTCCCAGGCTGGGGGGCATTTCTGTGGCAAGCAGTATGAACCAAGTAGACCAAGATGCAGGGTACACTGGGGCGGGCAGGGGGCAGGAGGAAGAGGCCACCTTGGGCAAATCCAACTGCCTTCCCTGTTGCCCAGGTGAGCCAGGCCAGCTGGTGGGCCGCATCATCCAGCAAGACCCCCTGCGCCGGTTTGACGGCTACCTCAACCATGGCGCCAACAACAAGAAGATTGCCAAGGACGTCTTCAAGAAGGGGGACCAGGCCTACCTCACCGGTGGGTCCCCAGCCCTTCACAGCCCCTTCTGGAGGGGGTGGGGAGGGCCGAGGGGTCCTTCACCACCTTTAGAGAACACCTGCCCAGGACTCCTCCAGTCCCAGCCCTAATGGTAGAACAGATTGTTGGGCTCCAGCAAGGACTGCCTGGCCCAAGCTGCTGGGCTGAGAGCCTGGCCGGCCCAATCCTTGCCTCATACAACCCCTCCCTAGGTGATGTGCTGGTGATGGACGAGCTGGGCTACCTGTACTTCCGAGACCGCACGGGGGACACGTTCCGCTGGAAGGGCGAGAATGTGTCTACCACTGAGGTGGAGGGTACCCTCAGCCGTCTGCTGGACATGGCTGATGTGGCGGTATATGGCGTCGAGGTGCCAGGTACACATGGGGAGGTGGGAGGAGTGTGTGGGGAAGCACCACCAGAGGGCACCGCCTGCCTTCACCGTGCACCCTGCCACCCCCAGGAACCGAGGGCCGGGCCGGAATGGCTGCTGTGGCCAGCCCCACTCGCAGCTGGGACCTGGGGCACTTTGCACAGGTCTTGGAGAAGGAGCTGCCCCTGTATGCCCGCCCCATCTTCCTGCGCTTCCTGCCCAAGCTGCACAAAACAGGTATGTTCCTCCCTGGCTCCCACTTTGAGGTTCTAGGCCTGGGCCACTTCCCGATTCCTTCTGGAGAGACCCAGCTGGCTGTCAGGGGACCTTCACCCACAGCCTTGCCGGGTAGTTGGTGAACTGACCTGCCCATGTAGAGGCGAGCAGACTTAGCCTTCAGAGGGAGCAGATATTTACTGAACACCAGGCACTGTGCTAGGCCTTAGAGATAACAGCTAGCAAATTCCAACAGGACCTTTGCCGTCCTGGAGCTTTTAGAGCAGTAGGGGAGGTAGCTGCAGGACAAGGAATTCTAAAACTAAAGAATGGCTACTGATCGGGTGGACAGAGAGCGAATGCAGGGGCATTCGGGATGACTAGACGGCTTGCCTGAGGAGCTGATGTTTCAGCAAGTCCCCAAGGCAGGAAGGAGCTTGGGTGCTGGAGGCCCCCAAAGCTGGAGTCAAGTGAGAGGGGCAGGCAGTGGTGTGAAGTGAAAGAGAGAGGCCAGTGGGGGCCAGAAGCCCAGGGCCTTGTGGGCTGGGGTGGGAGTGTGGAGTCTCCCGGGGGCCGTAGGGAGCCACAGACATGTTTGAGCAGGGTAGTAACCTGGTCAGATCCATATTCTGCAAAGATCTCTGGCTGCTGTGTGGAGAATGGGAGAGGACTGCAGGCAGCCCAGGGAAGCAGGGAGACAAGTGAGGGACTGTCACCATTGTCCAGGTGAGAGGTGAGCTGTGGGCCCATGGTCACATGGCCAGGCAGTGCCATCCTTCTATCTGTTGGTCGGTCCACTGATGGCTCCCAAGAGTTCTCTGGTGGGAGGAAGCACTGAGGCTTGTACACAGACCCACCCCTGCTTCCCTCAGCCCTTGCTGCCCTTCCACATTCTCCCTGTTGCTCACCCTCCCTGGCTGTTTACCATTGGGCCACCTGCCTGGACACCTCCCACGTGGTCATCATGTCAGCCCCTGCCTTGATGGCAGGCCTTCCGTGGCCAGTGTGGCCCCTACCAGGCAGTGGGTACCTGGACCTCAGGGAGCACCTGAGGCAGGGGGGAGGGTCACAGGACAGGGACACTGGTTCCAGGCCCATGACCAAGACTGCAAGCTCCCTGAGCATCAGTCCAGGAGAGACAGGAGGCTGTCAGACCTTGGGTTTCAGACGGGCTTTGCTGCAGAACAAACCATCCCAAACTTACTTGCCCAAATGCCTTACATTTGCTCATCTATTTGCTCACAATTCTGTGGGTCAGCAATTTGGGGGTAAGTTCAGCTGAGTGGTTCTTCTTTCGGCCTTGCCTGGGGTCCCTCAAAGAGCTGCCATCACTTTGTGATTCCACTGGGGCCCGAGGGTCTAAGATGGAGCCACTCACACATCTGGCCCTCACTGGTTGTTTCTGCAGCACCAGCGAACAGGACTTTCTGTGATGATGGGAATGTTTGATATCTCTGCTGTGCAACACAGTTAACTACTAGCCCTGCATATTGAGCACTTAAATGTGGCTAGTGTGAAATTTACATTTTGTTTAATTCATTTAAATTTAAATAGCCACATACAGTCAATGACTAGACTACCCTATTGGACAGCACTGGTGTAGGGGCCTCACCTGAGATGGTTCACCTGTGCTCCAGGAGGCCAGACTGGTCTCAAGGTACCCTCAAGAGGGCAGGGTTGGAAGCTGCAAGGTCCCTTGAGGCCTAGACTCATTTAGAACACACGCAGCACTGCTTCTGCCATATTCTCTTGGTCAAAGCAAGTCATCAGGCCAGTCCAGATTCAAATGGGGGTTGAGAAAGACTCTGGCTCTTGCCAGGAGAAGCGGCAAGGCCACAATGCAGAGGCATGTGCATGCAGGTAGGGGGACATCTGTAGCCATTTGTTGGCAGTGTGTCACACCCAGGTTTGAAGCCCAGCTCTACCAGTTATTAGCTGTGTGACACTGGCTCGCAGATGTGCCTCTCTGAGTATCAGTCTTCTCTTTAGTACAGTGGGGCTAAAACCATTGATTGAAAGATACATAATTTGCTTTACATACTATTAAGAAAAAAAACCCTGCTAATTAAACTATTTCAGAGATGTTAAAATTGAAAACATGTGCATCTTAGAATCCAGACAATACAGTTGAGCAACTGCCCCACGGGGTTGATGTGCACATTAAGTGAGAGCACACCTGTACCTGGTAGCTTCTCAAATAAAGGGAGCTATCACAGTCAGAAGACACAAGTTCTGGTCCCTACTCTGCTGTCACACAGTGTGTAATGCTGGGCAAATAGCTTCCCTTCTTCAGGTCTGTTTCCCCATCTGCAAAATGGGAGTGGGTAATACAGCCATCCCAGTCCCCCCCACTTTGTCATGGCTACTCTGAGAAGCAGTACATGATGTAATAAATGGAGCGATCTTTGTAAACTGTAAAGGGCCATGCCTGCTCCTCCCACACTTTTTCCTCTTTTCTCTCTAGCCCTCCTCTCTTCCCACTCTCCATACTGGTGCTCAGGTTCCTGGGAGCTCAGGCACCTGCCCTGCCCTATCTGAGTCTCTTCCCTGCTCTCCCAGGGACCTACAAGTTCCAGAAGACAGAGCTGAGGAAGGAGGGCTTTGACCCAGCTGTCGTGAAAGACCCACTGTTCTACCTGGACGCCCGGAAGGGCTGCTACATCCCACTGGACCAAGAGGCCTACACCCGCATCCAGGCAGGCGAGGAGAAACTGTGATTTGCCCTCCATGTCCCTCTGAGAGCCAGCGGATGCTGGATCCAAAGCCCCAGTTTCCACCCCAGAGGGGTCCTGGGTGATGCAAGACCAAAGCAAGCAGGTCCTGGCACCTACATCCCAAGGTGCTGACCCCTCCCTCCGAAACTGCCAAGTGACTCACTGCCACCTCCCCCACCCCCTGAGAGGCTTTCTGTGAAAGCCTCATGTCCAAGTCATGTCTTCTGGGCCAGGCAGGGCTTCTGGGCTCCAACCTGAGACCGACGGGGCACCCTCAGAATGATGTCTTGGATCAGGGCAAGGGGAGGTGGAGAGATTACCAAGCTCTCCACAGAATGCAGGGAGCTTGTAAATGGGACCAGGGCAGAAGTCCCCAGACTCAGGAAGTCAACAGGGCGTGCAAGGGTCATAGTGGCCATGGATCATGTGGCTGAAGATGATCTTGGTCCCAGAACTACCCAAGTGTCACTCAGCCCTGCCCACACCTCCAGGAAAGGAGGAGGAAGACCCAACAGGGCCCCTGATGCTCCACCTGCAGCAGGAGATCAGGACAGAGCCCCCCATGTCTCTCCCCTCTCTCCCATCCTCCTCTTCCTGGGTGGCTATCTGGCTGTCCCTCAGGCAGGGCCATTCTCTTTTTGTGGGTTTGTCTGTGTCACCTCCATCTCAGTCCTGGCTTGGCTATGAGAGGAGGAGGGATAAGGGAGGGGACACTCAGGGGCCAATAAACTGCCTTTACTCCTCCTAGCCTGTGTGCATGCCACCTGAGCCCACCCCAATCCCAGAGCCCTCTTCCCGCCCCCACCCTCACCAACCCTCCTGCCCCTCTGGCCCATTCACATCTCATCCATTCACTCACTCGGGCTTAGGGATAAGGCATGTAAAGTGCCCCAGCCCCTGCCTTCAATGTGCTGGTTCAGATGGGGGCAGTTCCTACCTGAATCTGGTAAGGTGTTTAACAGTGTGAGCCTGAACGTCCAAACCAGCTCTTCACTTATAAGCTTGTGGCCTTGGGCAAGTGACTCAGTTTCCTCACCTGTGAAATGGGAATAATCACTTAACAGGATTCAGAAGCTAAAGGTAGCCATTAGTAGGAAGAGGATGCTGAGTCTTTAAGGGGAAACCCTAATCTAGGGCAGGATCCTGACTCCAGACTCTTGGTGGTGCTGCTCCCTCTGCATGTGGTGCATTTCCCCAATCATTTAGGGGCTGGGAAGATCAGGGGGGTGTGGGTAGGGGCTGTAAGAGCCAGAGCAAGGCTGCCTAACCAGCCCAGGTGGAGTCCAGGAAAGCTCCCTGGAACAGTCCTAACAGCTGTGGTCATTAGTGCAGATGACAAGCCAGCTGTTTCCTAGGCACCATGGCTGGAGTCACACCTAGGCTGGGAACTCACAGCCCAACGGGAAGGGGCTCCAACACAGCCTAGGGTGGGGGGCAGTGCGCACCACGAGGCTTTCTCTCCACTGTTGTACCCTCACCACAAGTCTGTGAGGAGGGTTTTATAAATGGGCTTTTCAAAGAAAGAGCCAGAACTTGGAGATTCTGAGTCACTTGGCCAAAGTCACACAGCAAGTAGGGGCTGGAAAGCTAACCCAAACCAGAGTTCTCTCCGCTGCAGCACCCTGCCTCCTGTGCACAAGGCAGCAGGAAGCAGAAGAGCTTCCATTCCATGCATGCCTGTGGAGCCATGCTGTTCAGGTGGAGGTGGCCAGGCTGAGAAATCTGGAGTGCCTCCTGGGAGAGTGACCTTTGAAAAACAGAGGAGTCTAGTTCCTCCCTTGGGAGAAAGTGGGGGGCAGAGCTAGAGCAGGGGCCCTTGCAGAGCGGTGCTGAGGGGAATCGGGGTGGTGGGCATGGCTGCTGTGCCTGCATGTGGTCAGCAGAGGGCATGCAGGGCTTGGAGAATCCAGTCCTGGCCCTTAGACCTCAGCCCAGGGAAGGGGGAAGGAGGGGCTCTGAGTCCCACCTCACCCCCAAGCATGTACCCAACTCAGAGGACCCCACGGCAGGCCTTTGGTCATACTTCCAAGGGCCTGGACTTGGTTGACAGTGCGGCTTTGTATCTTTAACCCACAGTAGTAAGTTCTCTACAGTGGGAAGAAGGAACCCCCAGAGGAGGACCATTCCTTCCTCCACATTGAACACAGTCACCAAAAGGCTGTATGAACTGGTGGTTAAGAGCTCCAGCTCTGGAGGCAGACAGGCCTGCATCCAGATCCCAGCTCTGCCATTTGCCAGGGAAAGCCCCTTTCCTCTCCTGTAAATGGAAGTCAGGGAATCCCTACCTTTGGATAGTTGTGAAAATGCAGTGGGATTGTGCATGAAAACCTCTTAGCCTGGTGCTGGTATCTGCTTAATGTCTACTAATTTTTAAAAACGGAGAGGGGCCGGCCCATGGCTCACTTGGGAGAATGTGGTGCTGATAACACCAAGGCCACTGGTTTGGATCCCTATATAGGGATGGCCGGTTGGCCCGCTTGGGAGAGCGTGGTGCTGACAACACCAAGTCAAGGGTTGAGATCCCCTTACCGGTCATCTTTTTTTTTTTTTTTTTGTCTTTTTCCGTGTCCGGCAACGGATCACAACCCTCAGTGTTGCCCCCGTACTGGACCGGGGACCGGCAACGGGATTGCAACCCTCGGTGTTGCTCCCGTGCCTCGCTCAGCCAGTGAGCAGGAACTGGTCTGTATGTGGGATCCGAACCCTCGGGCGGGAGCGCCACCGCGCTTCCCAAGCAGCGCACTTATCCAGTGCGCCACGGGGCCGGCCCTTTTTTTTAAAAAAAAAAAAAAAAAAAAAAAAAAAGGAGATAGATATATTCAGATGTTAAGACCCCAGACTAGGCTGTTCCTCACTTCCACACGGGATCCCACAGCTCCTCCATGATGGAGAGGGAGTAGTGGGCCCATGGTCCTTGCTCTCAGGTCTGCATCAGGTCACCCCCAAACTATGGCCATGTGAGTCATCTCCATGCACACAGTAGGTGCTCAATACATGCTTGTGAAGTTAATTAACAATAGCTACTATTTATAAGGCATTTCCTGACATTTATGTAGTGTTTCACAGTTTATAGAGCACCATGTAAATACATGTTTTAAGCAAAGCAATTTTTTTTTTCTTTTTTTTGACATATCCAAACCCTTGACCTTGGTGTTACAACACCACGCTCTAACCAACTGATTCTAAAAGGCCTACTCTGTGCAGGGAAGGCCAAGCTGCCAAGGTGGGCAAGATAGAGACCCTGGCCCTAGATCTGCCCTCAGGGATCCCACCATCTGCAGGGTGGGAGAGGGGGCTAGTGAGTCTAGAAGCAAAGGCTGTGTGCTTAGCTGACCTAACCCAGTGCCTGGGGGTGGGGGTGGGGGCATGTCATGGTCAGGGAGGGCTTTCGAGGAGAGTGTTGAGAGGGAGCAGCCAAACATAAAGGCCTGGAGGTGCGGAGTAACTGGGGCAGTGAAGAAGGGCAGTGAGGCTGCAGGGTTGGGGGAAGGGTTAGAGTTGAAGCAAGATGTGAGAGAACCCTTTGAGGGCACCTGTACGTGCACACCTCCAGAGACTGGGAGCTCCCCGTGGAGGTCCTAGTATCAGGTCAAACCTGCTTCCTTAGACTCTTGCTAATGGCCACCATGTATTGGCATTTCCTCTGTGCCAGGCCGTGTGCAAAGTACTGTATGTGCATGATCTCATTAAATCCTCCTAATTCAAAGCAGATATATTTTTTTTCCCCATTTTATCCCCATAATTTTTATCTGTGGTCTCTAAAGACCGCAGAGCCTGTGAGTGGCACAGCTGGAAGGAAAGTCCTCTTCCTCGAGCCTCAGCATTCCCATCTGCAATCTGCCCACTCCAACCAGGGAGGCTGGAAGGGGCCAGCCTCAAGCATCCCTGGAGGTCCAGCTGCCCTTGGGACAGGCATGTGGCTGCCCGGGCCAGGGCGTGGTATATCACTTTCAATTCCTGGGAAGAAGGTTAAATACCTCTGAGGGGCCCATTGAGACTGCGGCCGCAGGGGAGGGGAGAAACGTGTGACTTTCAAAGGGACCTGAATGCATGGCCAGTCCCTCCTCCAAAGGAGGGGGCACTGCTTCCTCTTGGCCTAATGATATTCTGGGCTCAGCCCTCATCTTCGGCAGCAGTTTAACCCAAGCCAGGGCAGATTTCTTTCTCACTGATCTCAGCTTGACACCCAATTAACACAAGAATGGAAGGAGGAAGCCTGCAAGAGGTGCCTCCCAGCCTCCCAGGGCAAGTGAGGGGAGCAGGCAGGAAGACAAAGGGCAGCAGGCAGGGGGGCACCAGCGCCCTGCCTCCCCACCGACCCTGCCATTGTCTCCCTATGAGCTTCAGAGAAGATGGAGGCCTATGCCCGGGCTGGCCAGCCTACCGGAGGAGATGGGATGGGGCCCAAGCCCCTGTTCTGTGTAGATCCGAGGGGAAGGCACTTGGATGAGACTAGTCCAAGGGAGGAGTGAGGGTCAGTGAATATGGGCAGGAAACCTGAAGGCACAAAACCTGGGGTTGAGACCTGACACTTAGGGGCCCTTGGGCAAGCCACACACCCATTCTGAGTCTCATGTTTTTTCATCTGAAAAAGGGGGATAATTAATAATCCCTGTGAGGAATCAATTAGGTAATGCAAGTAAAGCACCTAGCAGGTGCAAAATGGGAGTTCAATAAATACTCTGAATAAATACAATATGTTACACTATATTGTTACTGACTGAGGGGTTGAGTGGGGTAGGCTGGGGTCAGGAGGCAGGACTTTATAAAAGTGAGAACTGGGCATCCACAGAATGGGCAGACTTATCCAGAAGGAGCTCCCAGTCTCTGGGGCTATGCCAGGAAAACGTGATGGACCACCTGCCTGTTGAGATTGCAGGAGCAGGGAATGCCTCTGGCCTTGCATGTGCCCTCTTCCTCCCCACCACCTCCTCTTACATTCCTTTGGACTTGGGTTTCAATGTGACTTTCTCTGGGAACTCTTCCCTAATCCCAGGGCTGGGTTAGGGGCCTCCTCTGGTTCCCACAGGCCCCCTGTCCCCTCCCCCCACCACTCCCTTAATGCCAATTGCACTGTGTGTTCATCTCTGTCTTCTGATACATCAGCCGTAGGAGGGCAGGGACCCATTGGTTTTGTTCACCATTGAGTTCCCAGCACCAGCACTGGGCCTGACATGTAACAGGTGCTCAGTGAATGTTTGTCAAATGGATGGAACGCTTCGAATGCTCCCAAGCATTCAGTTCTAGCTCTGGGAAGTGGCAGTTCCCAGGGATATTCAGCTCATAGAGGTGGGTTGGGATTAGAAGCACTAAAGGGCCCTGAATATCTTCTAGATCGGGCCTTCTCCTGTTGGCAAAGGGAAGCCATTAAATGATTTTGAGCAAGGAAGTGATATCACTTGTTCATTTATTCACTCATTCAGCAAGCAAGCACCAAACCCCTACAATGTACAAAGGTCCTCACTACATGCTAAGGATCACAGATGAATCAGGAGGGGCTCACTGGTTAGCTCAGTTTGGGTAGAGTGTGGCGTAACACCAGATCCCCATACTGGCCAGCTGCAATAAAAAGAAAACAAAAAAAAGATGAATCAGGAAAGGTTTCTGCCATGGAGGAGCTAACAATCCAGTGGTAAAGAATCTTAGAATATTTTTGCTGAAGGGAACTTAAGAGATCATTTGATCCCAAATTCTCTTTACAGATTGGGGAAACTCTGTCCCAGAGAGGGGAAATGACCTACCCACAC